GGAGGGCACAACCGGCGCCTGCCGGCGGGCCGGTGAGGGAGCGCGGTGGCCGCTGACGCGGACCGGCAGCCCCACGAGGGAGGGAGCGGGCGGGGGCCGCGGCTCAGGGGAAGCAGCGGCGGCGGCAGCGGCACCGGGCCCGGGGCGGCGGAATGACGAGCCCGGGCGGAACCTGCGCGACACCTTTATGAGCTCAGCGAGGAGATGGCGGCGGCGGCGGAGCCCTGCGCGCCCGCCGGCTGCAGCGCCCCCTGTCGCATGGGAGGGCGCATCACACCCCCTCAGTCCCCTCACGCCGCGACCCCGGCCCGGGGCGGCGCCTCCGGCGGGGCCGAATCACCCCGCGTGACCCGGCGGGGCGGGGGGAGGGCCGAGGGTCAGTCCTGTGGAGAATCCCGATGGAAAAATAGCAATAAAAAGTGAGTGCAGTTAGACTTTCCTCGGGGAGGAAGGGGATCGCCTCCCCTCCCAGCGGGGTGCTCGGGGCGGGCTGTTCCCCTCACACCGCGGGGTGCGCGCCAGGCAGTCCCCGCCGCCCCTTGTGGGCAGTGGGCTCAGGCCGGCTGGGGAGAGCGGGAGGTGCTCCGTGAAAGAACGACCACGTGCCTCGTCCCCACCCCAGCGCTGCCTGTGTCCCTCTGTGCACCAAAGTCTGGAAATTCAGTCACGGAGAAGAGCAGGGGCGCTCCCGCTCGCAGCCCGCGTGCCCGGGGGACGGGCTGGTGGCCCAGGGTCCGTGAGGATCGTCAGGGCGGATTGCAGCAGCCAGCGGATTTATGAGAGAGCACCCCCACAGGGTCTGGCTTTCTTGGGACGGAGATGAGAAATGCACAGTTTTCCTTTGGGAATCTGGTGCCCGGCTGGCGGTTCCCGCAGCAGGGGAGGGAGCATAGCCAGCAGTCACGTACTTCTGGTACCCAAGAGGAAGCCCCAGTTTCCACAAAATAAGTGTTTGTTCTACACAAAGGTGCCTAACAGTGTGCAAAATCAATGTTAGGAAAACAAAGTCAATGCACTTTATATTTCAGTGATTTCATTTACAAAACACCCTAGCAACGCTATGTATGATTAAAATCTTTTAAGGTTTAATGACCCAATACAATGTATTTAGGGTCAAGTTTTGTACCCCTGACGTCAGTACACATATGAGCAAGATCTGATCCACTGTATTTTCCTCATAGTTTAAGTTAAAAAAATCTAGGACTAGGTGTTCAGCATCAGTAATCTGTCCTTCCTCTTCTGATTCCTCTGGATGTGCTATGTACTAATTTACATGAGCTGATCAACCAGTTCTAAGTTTTAAACACAGAAGTCAATGCACTAATTTCTTTCCTAGTATGGATGGCAGGAGCTGTTCAAAGTGAAAAATGAACATCACTAAATAATCACCAATGCTTAAATAGCACTCTTAAGAGAAAACAGAAAATATTTCCAGTCTTATAAGGATCAAATTCTCACTGCTTCCTTTAATTTTTCACTTCTCTATGAAATGCTGATATTCTTGTTATTCAGGGGGTTTCATTTATTTTGCCTTTTACGAAACATGCTAACATTGTACCTTTGCCAATGACCTAAATGACCTAAAGCAAATGACCTGAATTTAGGGGGGGAAAAAAAAAATTGAAGGTTAAAAAACAAGTTGTTGTTGTTTGGTGTTTTTTTTTTTTTTCCTGGAAAATCCTTCGGAGAGCAGTGATTGGCCACTCACCTGCTGCAGCAGAGAGTTGCTGCATGCAGCCAGGTTTTGTTTCAAGCAGAGTCAAGGGTGGTTTGTAACCGAAGCGGGAGCAAGCAGCTTCCACTGCTCGTGTCACGACTGAACTCACGTGAATGTCACACAGGAGCAGCTGCTAATAAAAATGACATCGCTGTCATTGACGTTGTCATTGTCAGTAAAATGTGGAACTGAGCTCCCGGGGAAAATCCGAGCACTGTTTAAGTCAATCAGAAAGTTCAGTAGGAATCCTATGGCTCCAGTTTGCTTTGTGAAGAAGCAGTCCTGCCATTATTCTGGTGTTTGAGAAGCCTATTGAGCCAAGATAGGCTTACACTAGTGGATGAATTACCTGTGTTAACATTTATGTGGTTTAGAAACCACTTTTTGTAAATACCAAGCTTCTCCGTTCTGCATTTTACAGAGCAAATTTACCCCAGGGAACTAGAGAATGAGACTTCAGGGGTGTGTGAGGAAACACTGTGCTACAAATGAGATCTCTGGGATTCGCGTTCTTCCAGAGTCTGTGGGCACACCTGGGGCTCCTACAATCAAATATCTACATCTTACCCTCCTCTTTGGTCAGAGCCTAAGGAATACAAGGCCCAAAGTGTAACTGAGTGTAACACTGTTGACACATACAGATCTAAAAACTGGCTACAGTAACTTCTGTTTCACCTCCCCACAAGCAATAACGTAACTTGTGCTCCTCTCCCACTCCCGCTTTTTCTGTTTTGCTGCTCACAGCTAGCAGTAATTCCCTCAAAGCAGCTGGTCTGTGTTTTCTCTAAATCACTAAAGGAAAATATCCACAAATAATACACATTAATAAAACCGCTTCTCTTCAGTTTTACTCCTGGGTTTTCTTTTTCATTACATATTTTTATGTTTCTCTACTCTAGAACCCAAATTTTCTTTCCTGCAGCTTCTCTGTCCAAATTTGTTCTTTATTCTCTCCTTCTAATGACCATACTTCTGCAGTTGGAAATATACTGGCCAGCTGTTTATTCCAAAAGTGCTTAATCCCTGCTGCACCTGCTACAGCTTTTAGCATTAAAATTAATTTCTTAACAAGAGGTAAAACAATTATTTTTTATGCTTGCAACATTTCTCTTTACATAAGAAACAGAATTTAATATTCCAGTCACAGGTAATAATATCTGAAAGATGTTTCTTTGGTAAGCTCTTAAATATGGGCCAATAGGGTATAAATTACAATATACAAACACATAATCTAGTGGATTTATTGTCATGACCAAAAGAAACAAGACTCTAAGAATGTACATTTGGGAGATGAATAAGACGTTCTCTGTTTGCCACTAGGATTGAGGTCAGTAATATCCACTTTAAAGCAATTAACCCAGCAGGATAAGTGACGTGAAAATTATCATGCTGAAAGGCTAATGGGCTATTAAATCCATCTTGCTTCACCACTGATGGGCATACAGAATTAATCCTGGGATTAGGTATAGCAGATCGTGGGTAAACTGCTTCCTCACTTCATATTCGTATATGAAGGGTTTTCTGAAAATGCTAGGAAAGAACACAGCCAGAACATTCACTGACGTGCTCTATTCAAGGTTCAGTCCACAGAGCATAAATTAGTGTGTCTGTGCCTGGCCTTATGCAAGCAGTAGTTTTTTATTAATGAATAGATACATTCTGGTAAGAGATCAGAACAAGAGGAAGTCATAGTAATGGTTATATAAATCATACTGCCTGTTGACAATTATTTAAATCTGGACAATTCAATGCAAGAAAATGGTCAGACAAATATGATTGAATTACAACATTATCTTTACTTGCAATGCCATTTCCCTTGGACAACTCCCACCCACTGCTATGACATTAACATGGTAAGAAGAGTTAAATGGCAGAAAGCCCTGCCTTTACCCTTAATAGCTGTGAATAAGAAACTGACCTCACAACAAAGAGAAAGGCGCAGTCTCATCAGCTTGGGATTTTTGTAATGAACAAGTTAGTGGTCTGTATTTTTTTAATATCATCTTTTATTTGTGTGAAATACATCTAATTCTTTGGAGTAATATGGGGTAGGAGATGGTTTGCAGTCACCATATGGTTCTCTTCCTGCTTTCTAGATTGGCCAGTGATGTTGAAAGGTTATCAATATTTCAGCCTTGCCCCTTTATTTGACACAGTTCTTGAATTTCCATCGTGCCTCAAGTGCACTAGATCATATTCCAGTTTGTAATCACAGACTAGGCAGTGGAAAGAACATGCCTATATACAGTTGCAGTGAAGGCAAAATATCTGTCATAGGAATGCATATCTTGTATGTAAGGCAAATGCATTTTAATTTTAAAGTTAATCTTTACAGGACATTTATTTTTAGAGAATGTGCCAATGTTTCTATTACTGTTTTTTGCTTTGTATTGGTTTATCATTAATCTATAAAACCCTGTAGTTGATTCATGTAGTTAAATAAGCTGTCACAGAGTTTTGGTAAAATGATTGTTTCATGCATCTTTCAGAGGAACATGCCAGAGGAGAGAGGAACCCTTTAAACCACAGAGTATATTCATATTTGATCCTGTTACAGCAATAGAAATATAATGGTAAGTCATAATATTTTACATTTGCTGGAACATCCCACAGAAATTTTGGCAATACACAAGACAGCCCAGAGTCTATGGGTAGAAGAAGGAAGTTGTGGAACTGATATGAACAAAACTACAAGGCTGGAAAAAAATCCATCTTTAGGACAAAAATGTGAAAGACAGAATGGTGGCAAGATAGTTCAACTCTTCAACTCTTTTGGTTCTAAATTAGAAGAGGGAGAGATAGAACTTAAACAGACACCTAAACCCCAACAGCTTCTCTAGTATTTGGCTACATAAAGTACTGAACCAGGAAATACTCTCCCAGCTGTCTGAGCAGGAACAACTTAATTTTCACATTAAAGTTTAAAGACCTAAGTTATTTCTTGACCTATAAATGAGATTTGTATTTAAAGCCAAATGTATTTTGAAGTTCAGTTCTTCAGTACCTTTTCCACTTGACGATGAGCATTTCCTGCCAGTTTTCTGTAAAACTCCCATGGGAGTGGAGAGAGGCCTTCGTTGCTTTCCACTAATGAATCTAAATTATTGATTAGTCAGTCTAATTTGTGGAAACTGCTATTGGTTAGTGCTGTCTTAGAAGTGCCTTAGATTGGGCAAAAAGAAATTCAGGTAATTTCACACAGATCTTCAGTGAGGGAAAGACTATTAAAATAGATAGGAGAAACAGCATTTTCAGCCAGTGTTCTTT